CACGGGGCATGGATAGCTACCAACCAAACGACCTAATATGCATGTTACGAGTCCGTTGGTATGCACCTTGTGCGTTGCGCGAGCCACAGGCGCCCCCCCTCGTCCCCTCACCCCTCACCCAAACGGCGAGATATAAAGGGCCGATGCATTGGAGGAAGGTGGGCTTGTTTCTTGGTTCGATTGAAAAGAACGCCCTTTTGTATCGTTGGACAGGTGTCGTTTATTTGGCCTTGAGCTCGCAATTGTGCTTGGTTAACTTGCCTTATCTTTTTTCTTAAACCCGCATTGTGGTTCGGGGGGTGGACAGCATTAAAAGCCTCGTCTGGGATCTTGTCTCTTGTCTACTCTTGTCTCTCTCTCGGAAGCTTGCCCTCCGTGACTACCGATTTGGGTCCTGGCCTTTTTTTGGGCTCCCTTACTTACTTACATACTTCCTCCTCTTCATTCCTCCGATCCTTTTTTTTTCTTCCATCGACCTCAGCTTCCTTTCGTCTCCACCTAGATCCTCCTTCCATACCTCCTAGCAACAATGTCATTCTCGGCGGACAAGGTCAGCCATTTGAAGGGAGCGTTTTCCCAACGCCGCTTTTCGAGTTCAAAGGATCCTACCGAGAGTGGTATGTATTTTTTCTGTCAATTTCTTCTACTTGAGCCCCCGAGGAGATGGCCAATGTTGGGCTGCCCTACGTCATCCTCAAGATTGAGGCCCAGGTCCTAGCATCGGAGGCATTGCAACGTCGGTGTGGGTGTGGAGCACCTAGGGAAAATCCCGGCCATATCTGATAGAGGAGGATTTACCCGCATATTTGGGAAAGGGGGTTATCCCATCTATTCACTTCCAGTCCTTTTGCCGCATGTTTGCGTAGGCTGAGTGGGAATTTTGGGGGTTCTTTGTTTTTTTTGCTTTTGCTCGCTCGTTATCCACCCCTCACTTGGAGTACTACCCCACGCCGATTTGCAGCCATGCCCCACGGACGACACGAATCAGGTCTCGCTTTTCCTTTGAAGCCTTCATTCTAAAGGATACACATACGCAAGCGACCAACTTACTAACGGTCAATTAGAGCTTGGCTCCTCGATCCATCGCCAATTCCGCCAGTCACACGAAGGCCACAAGCCCCACGCCGGTCTCGACGCGACGCGCGCCTCGACAGGTGTCGTCTGGACATCCGAACAAGCATACAAGCACGGTTTCCTCGAACACCCAGAGGAATGGGCCAACCTGGGTCAGGGTGCGCCTGAGGTCGACGACAGCATCGAGGGCTGCTTCGAGAGGCCGAGAGAGGTAGATATTAGTGCTCACGGCAGAGAGTACGGTCCTACCGCTGGTATCAGGCCGCTGAGAGAGGCGGTTGCAACACTATACAATGAACACCACCGCAAGTGGCGTAAGAGCCAGTACACATGGGAGAACGTAGGTCAAGACGGTGCAATTTGTCTTTTGGCAGAAATGGCTGACTGAGTACAGGTTTGCATCGTCCCTGGTGGACGTGCTGGTTTGATCCGTATCGCTGCTGTGTTGGGCAACTGCTACTTGGGTTTCTTCATTCCCGGTACGCTGAAGGATTCGATATATGCCCAGTCTCAAAACTGACATGTACAGACTACACGGCGTATAACGAGATGTTGTCGCTTTTCCGAAATATTGCCGCCATTCCCGTCCCTCTAGGCGAGGCGGACCAATACCACATGTCGCCCGACAAGATTGCAGAGGAAATCGCCCGTGGTACCTCTGTCATTCTCACATCGAACCCGCGTAACCCAACGGGCCAGATGGTCACCAACCCCGAACTCGCCCAAATCCAGAACATTTGCAGAGACCGCGCAACTTTGATTATGGACGAGTTTTACTGCGGATACAACTACACCACCAACTGCGACGGTACCGTCATCTCAGCCGCCGACAATGTCGAGGATGTCGACGAGGACGATGTGCTCATCATTGACGGTCTTACCAAGCGATTCCGTCTCCCCGGATGGCGTGTAGCGTGGGTCATTGGACCCAAGGAATTCATCCAGGCTATTGGCTCCTGCGGTTCTTACCTTGACGGAGGCTGCAACGTGCCCTTCCAAGAAGCCGCCGTGGAGATGCTTTCTCCTCCCCGTGTCCGCAACGAAATGCGCGCTCTGCAAATGCACTTCCGCACCAAGCGTGACTACGTCATTGGTCGTCTTCAGGAAATCGGCTTCAAGTTCCCCTACATGCCCAACTCGACTTTCTACCTCTGGCTCGACCTGTCCAACCTCCCCGAGGGCATCAACGACGGTCTCAACTTCTTCCAGGCCTGTCTCGAGGAGAAGGTTATTGTTGTCCCTGGTATCTTCTTCGACCTTAACCCCAGTAGGCGTAGGGACTTGTTCGACTCGCCTTGCCACCACTTTGTCAGGTTGAGCTATGGCCCCCGCATGGATGTGCTGGAGAAGGGTCTGGACTCTATCCAGAGGATTGTGACAAAGTGAGTTTCTTGCCCTTTTTGTGCTGGATAAGGATGATTGCTAACGGTATACTAGGTACAGGGAACAGCCGCAAAAGCACCGTGCTGTGTCACATAGGCCCCGTGGTACTCCTATGTAAATACACTTTCGATGTGTGACTGGGGGTGAAGATATAGAACTTGTTTTAAATAGGTGATTGGATCGCCTTAGAACTTGGTCTGATACACTTAGAGTAGAATACGTGGAAGAATATTTATCACATGGACTATTCATATCAATGTGCTGATGTCCTTCCCATAATTCTCCAAGGCGGCATACATGACATTAAGCTCCCTTTTACGAAGGCTCTTGGCGAATGACTTCGTATTGAGCAAACGCCCGTCTTTAGTCTGGTAATCTTTCTTATCGCCATATTCCCCCGGACTGATAGACTTGATAGCACTACCCCGACAACATATCGTTCTGGTCCACTTCTTCCGTATAATCCTAATCTTAACCTACCTTAACCCTAATATATCCGTTCACTCGCATCATCGTATACTAGTCTTCTTCTCTTCTCTCCCCCCCCTCTCTCTCTCTTGTCCTGCCTCTCCTTTTCTCCCGGGAGAAATGGCAATCCCCGAGAGTCCAACCTGCACCGCTGTGGGCAAACAACTGCTGCGAAACAATGGATTCCAGCTGGGGATACCCGGCGCAATGCGCAGAGCACTCGCGAATAGTGCACAATATTTCTGATAACTTCCTCCCGTACCTGCATATCTGCCGCTGCTGCTGCTGCTGCCTATGCCCTCTTTTGTACTTTACTCGCTCTGTCAATCTAACTGAGCACATCATCTGCCATATCTTCAATCAAGAAGTCGTAGAGGAGCTTCCTCGTATCTTTGCTACTGCTCCTGTAAAATCGTACGTATTTTCTTGTCCAGTCGGATGGTCGATACGTGGCTTTTTTTTGCCGCTGCATCCACCAAGAACACTGCATATAAATCCACCATCCGCATTAAAGGCTGAGTAGTCAACGAACTCCAAACCCCCTCGCGCATACAACCGGGAGCTTCTTCCTTGCCTATACTATATAATCTTGCACTCGTCCGTAGAAGGCTGGCCGATAGACAGCGTCTCCCTCGGTACACCCTTGCTCTTGGATGCATGATCCTCGTAGGTACACCGACAATCAGTACGTGTATGGAACACACGAAGTTGGCTATCAATATGCGCGTATAATACTCTCTTTGGGCTTGATCCAGGAGGCAATATAAGTTTTTCGGTTGGTACCGGGCTGTCGTAGGTCTTGAAGGTGGCTTCGATACCAATCTAGACTATAGGCTGAAGACGTAGAATGGTGGCTTAAACGCTTAAAATCAAGTCTAGAGTTGTGGGTAATGATAAGCCTGGTGGTTGTCCTTGTATATTGATAGTGTCGTACGGACGTGTTTTGCCGTGCGGACGGTGGAAAGAGACGAAGATATAAAGTGAGAATGGCAGAGTACTCGACATTGAGATTGTTGTTGCGACATGTTCGGGCTCACGCGCGAAGTAAACCATGTGGCCATGGCGGTATAGTCCTGTTCAGCCGCTTTTTCCGAATCGTGGTTTCGTGGTAGATGAAGGTATATAATATAGTTCGTCGTAGTTTCTGTGGATGTACTTCGTAATGGAAGTGTGGACAGCACCAGCTGTGGCTAGGGATGGTGACTGGCATGTCCGGCCACGAATTTGAGCAAAACATGTTGTCGGTAAGGTACAATCTTCTTTTGCTCCATTTGTGGTACAATCGCTTCGTGTTGAGTGAGGATCTGGTTTGATTCATACTAGTCATTGGATATGCTCTCACTGAGGGAGGCAGCATACTTGTCAAGGGTCGTGACTGGGTATAGCGACTCCAGTTTGCGTATGTCTTCCTTTCCTAGTTTCTTTGAAGGTATATACTGAGCCGGTATACAGAGTAGGCTGGCGTCCCTCACTGATTTTTAGAACAGCTCAAGTTGGGCATGGAGTTGCCGGTTCGTGGTACGCAACTCAAGCTCTTGCACAAGAGCCCAAATAAAACCTTGGTGTGCATGCACACCCGCACCACCATGCTGACGAAGTGACTTCGCTTGTGCCTGGTCAAGGGATATCTCATCTGACCTAGAAGGTTTTAGTACGTGCTTGAGGGTGCTCTCAAATAGCAACTTACTCTGACTGGGGTAGTTTTGGTACATTCATTATCGGTTGAATGTTTTATTGGGGAGAGCCAGGAGTAATGTTGATTTCCGTCGTCGTCTCCCGCACTACTCTTGACGCTGACTGGGTTCTCACTGCTCGTCTTGTGAGGATTAGTTTTGTAAATTGGCGTTCGACAAGGAGTCTAGGAGAGCGAAAAGGATGGGGGTGGTGTGAATAAATGGCTCGACGGCGCGAAGAGTACTGGGTGAAGATGCCTCAAAGAAGACGGGATAAGAAATAGTTAGAATTTGTATAGAACGACAGGAAATTTGCCAGCATTTATCGTGAGTTTCCCGGCATTAGGAAAGAAATGAACGAATGGCGTCTTGGTCACTGCGTCAAGATATATGTGTAAGAAATGACATAAGGAAAAGAAAAGGTTGGTCATATAAAGGGCTAAGAGTTGTTCTGCTGTTCTGAAAAACATCAATTTCAGAAAGCACAACCTCTGATAAATAGGTGCAGAGCAGATGGTTTGATTGGCCCTAAGGTTGTAAAAGTTCCGTGAAAAGAGCTTTTGGCAAAGGATAGCAAAAACGATAGTAGACCAATCAAAATGTCACAAGCACGATACAAGCCCAACTTGACAAGCGGATCACTCTGTTTTCCACAGGGCAAGCACATAATTTCGAGGCTAGTGGCGCAATTACGAAATAGCAAGCACAAAATCATGAATGGAAGATAAGGGAAACATGGGTACAATCAATACCACAATCAGGACACTGTAATCATGGCACTACGAATGCAAGAAAACCAACCGAAAACAAAAATCAAGATATCACAAGCACGCCAAAACAGATTTGTTATCACATTCACTGCATCGCATACACATGATCACGGCCATAGTATCCTGCTTTTAAAATCCGGTCGAAAGCTCCCTCCCTCAGCTGAGAATCATCTTCCGTACAACATCTGCCGTATATCATCATTCCATTCGTTACCTATCTCGATCCACAACTACCTGTGATTTGCGTTGCGCTACATATGTGAAGATCGTAGCAGAGCCTCACAACAGTCTCCCATATATTGGGTGTCCACCACATTTACCAGGCAGACTACACGCTTGGTCTTTTTGATACTTCTCCAGATCTCAAGGGCGTCAAGAATCTAGAGGATATGATGAATATCATTGCACGAAACAACCCGCTGTACTTTCTACGCGTGTACATCAACCTTTGCGTCATTCATGGCCTTTGGAGACGAGGCTAATTCTGAATCTGGCTTGGGATATAACCACCAAGATATGCTGTCTTGGGTTTGCAGTAGGAAGAGGGACGTGGGGGGTAAATGATATTTTGAGATTCTCGCGTTTCTCCTGTTCCGTATATAGGGACTAAGTCACTATACGTATTCTGGGCTGTGCGGTCAATGACCAACGCCTTCGGCTGCATAGCACCAGCGGATACTTTCTCGTCGACGCACACACCTTGGTTTATACAGCGCAGCTATCAGACTGAAGACCCATGGGGAAAACAGCTCAACCTCATCACCGCCAAGCACGACGGCAAGTACGCATATATCGAGTACAACCACGAGTTTCACGCTGCGTCGAAAGCCGTTGATGAAAAGAGCCAGACCACCCAGAAATAGAGATGGGAGGCGAACTTACAGGACTGGGAGGACAAGGGGCAGCCTGGCGATAAGCCCGAAAGGCCTTCCCTAAACGTTGCAGACCCCGCCATACCAACCGTCTGCGTACGCCGTTCACCATAATTCTCAAACTTACCTTGCACCAAGCTCATTCACCCTAAAAACTTCGTTTGGTGATCCTTTAGGGTGGCTGAAGGATGCTGCAGAAGACTTACTAAATGAGAATCCCTCACCGATCGTCCCTGGGATCAGTCCCAACCACGTTTATGTACTCTCACAAAAATTGAATGGCTTGTATACACCTAAAGATTTTTGGAATGCATGATATTTGTCTCCCGCGGGACGACACGAGCTGTATGTCTCATTTGATGTATTCGGTCGCGGCCTACCACAACGCACGCATCCTGAATAACTTTCCTAACATAATCAATGCTTTCAAGGAATGGTTTGGCCCTGGGTGGTTGCGAACCAGTATGGCAACATCATTAGCACTGTTTCCACTTCTGTAGCAATTGCTACATCAACTGCGTCATGGATTACGGACACATGCTACTCTCTTCGCGTCTTCACAATCGGCATGAGGCTTTGTTGGCAACGCAGGTGATAATGTCATGGTCATGGATATAGACATAGATACGGACACTGAGGGGGGAGGGGGGGGGAGGTGCTGATGGGTGAACACTGAATACATGGAAAATAGTTACAGAGACTTGTCACGGACATGATATTTCTTTTTCGTCGAAAGGGGGCAGATGTTACTATGGTAAGACTTCATATGTCGTGTATAAGAATCAATCAATGAATACCATTGATAAATATTATTCTTGTACATCATGTATTGTGACGCGATATCTCCAGCATTCTCACAATGAAGAGTTTGTGCTCCAGAGACTTGGACTTTGGCGAGCAATCTACGTGTCTAGTCACCTGGTGTAACATAGAGTGTGAGCAGGAATGATCTTTTGCTAAAAGATGAGGTGCAAGAATGAATATAGTACAAATACAAAGTTGCTCAACCAATCATGTAGGTATTTCCTGTGTTGAGACTTGTCCAAAAATTGCGTCCAATCCGCGTCCAACTGGAAGACGAAGTCTTCCCGCATGACCCGCTCATGCAGCTGCCAGAGTGCCGTGTGTCATCTCTTCGTGTCAGAGAGGGAAATTAAGGAGAGTGCATTTACTATGACTTCATTATCGATTTTAAAGCAGCCCCGATTGCCGCAGTTGCAGGAGATGTCGTGTTTAGACTTCCATGATGGTCTGGTTGTGGCTTTCTTTTTAATACTTTTCTTAGGTGAGCTATGGTAGCCTTCATCTGGAGAATCTTGGATGGCTTGTTCGTCTTTGCCACCGCTATTATATTCGTCATCGTTGTCGCATCCGACGCCGTTTGCTTCCGCTCTACCCCTGATCGCGCTTGGGAAGTTACTGGAAGTTGGACTTGGCGCACGAGAGCGAATCATTCGACTAGTCTCTTGAGAATGTTGTGCGGCATCTTTCTGAGAAGAATGGGACTTTCGTAAAACAGGACTGTCTGTCAGAGGTTTGGAGTGCGGCTCGTGGGAAGCAGCTCTTTTGCTTAGCACTACCAAGTCACCACCAGGACTCAGAAAACCCCGGGGGTTTGGGTATCCACGGGCCCCCTCAATCCATCGAGAAAGCTCTGGTCTGACCGCTTGGTTTACCCATTCATGCATATTCTTAAGCACCATGCGTAAGACAAAGACACCCCAAGAAATCTCCAGTGACGTTGCCCATATACATCGCATAACGATTTTCTTCTAATATATGTCAACCCCAATGCAAAGTGTGAGGTATGTCCTTGACAACTTACGGGCCGCCTGTATGTGAGCCAAAGCTTGACATGCGTACCAACACATGTGAAAGAGAAGATGACGAGAGCCTCAGGGTTAGGTTCGTTCTTTTTCGAAGCTAGAAGCAGCTTCTCCCGTAGGCTGAGGGCGGCGGCAGAGGCATTCGCAGCTTGGCAATAGCACATTCTTTCTGGATCGCCATCTACGATAGCGGACTTTACCTCAACGACAGCCCAGGGGAAGCACATGAGATCTGGACCGCGCATTTGGTCCCTCGTGGGCTCCGAAGGGTCCCATCGCCCTAGGGCTTTCCGCGGCGAGGACAACACACCACTGTCTTTTCGGAGTTTATTGAGCGTTGGAAGAGAGAAATTCTCAGTCCATGGATGCGTTAGATATGGTTTGTAGACAGGGTCGGTGGTATCGATAATGGGGAATCCGTAAGTAAAGTCTGGTATGGGATATGTCAGGGTATTTTTGCTGTCTCGGAAGCCAAACGAGGATGATTGCTGGAACTCAGTCCAGTGAATTTCTTGATGTCTAAAATGTGGATGAGTAAAACGAAGTTAGTACATGGGGATGTGACTTACCGCGTCAAGCGTAGCAGCATGTTGCTTTTCTCTGGTTAGCTATGTCCCACACCAAACGTCCTAAAACTCACTTGAAAGAATCGGAGCCTGCTTCGTCACTTCGATAGACTGTGAAGATATGTTCCTGCAAGACATTTTGCCATTCGCGCTCAAATTCTTGATCTCCGCGTAGCTTGACGAACTTTTGTGAGATGTCAAAACAGGATTCCAATTCTTTCCGTACCCTCAGATTTATAGTATCAGCTCTTCCAAAAAGATTCGTCCCTGGAGATGCAGTTTCAAAATCCTCGTCGTTAGGTTGCAAGTCCCACCTATCGACAGAACTTTCGAATGACTTAGTATTGGTCATGTTGTTGTACTCGTTTTTGTCCAGATCACGGAAATTTTCAAGTTCGTCTCTGAGTTCGTCTCTGATGTTGCAAGGAATTTTGGTCCGCCGGCGTATGAGAAGCTGACGAATTGGTTGGAGCCATTTCATTAACTTGTGGGGATAATGCACTTCGCTATAAAAGAAGATGTTGTTTTCTGCAAGTGTTTGCCCACTGATTCTAGGTTTCTTAGTACTTGGATTTGACAGTGACATCTTGAAAGGGAATGAGAAATCTGTTGTGTAGTTTCCTCTGGTTATGATGTTACTTTAAACCACTTGTTACCATGTCAGGATATGAATGTAGGCCTGCGGCACAGCTGTCGAGTGCGCGAGGCTGAAACAGCATCGGCTAGGTGTCTACCACACCAACTTTACGCCATAGCCTCTTACATGGAGACTAAAGTTGCTACTGCCAAATCATATCCCTGAAAATATTCAAGACTGACAATGCGCACTTTATCCTTTCACCAAGACCAATTTGATGTAATTGAAACGTGGAGTAGCGTAACAGCACTCCGCCCCCTTGAGGCTCGTGCGTACGTAGGATCGCGGTTTTCGTGATCTTTTAGGGAAATGCTCATTCCATGAAACACATGGTTACACAAACCCAGGAACTACTTCCACTTCGGTATACGAAGAATTACATAACAAAGATAACCATATATTGTAAGTGAGCGCAGAAAGGGCGATACTAGTGCCGTACACCCCCACACCAACCACCTCTCACTCCCTTGTTCACGTCGCTTAAGATAGAGCCAGCCAGGCTGTAATTTCTTTACACATAGAAGGATCTAAGAACGGATAACACGGATGCAAGTCGCAAAAGCGATGCGGAGCCGAATTCTACACTTGATTCAGCTACTTCATTGTACTGAAGCAGTCCCTTGAGCATGACCATGCTCACGCATCTAAGCCGTAATTGCTACTATCTATAGTGTATAACGGAAGAGAACTCCGGGCCCATTGGCAACTCCCTCTGCACCGATAGCCTGGTCTGATTTGCGATTGAGTTTCTGGAGCCAAAGTCGAAGGGTGAGAGACGCAGCTGCGCAGCAGAGTAGCGCCACAGTCAACACAATACATCCCATACGGTAAAGACTAGATACGTGAGTCAATTGCGTTTCATGATGAGAATCATGTGATACTTACGGTGCACTCCATTCAGGGTAAAGGTATGCAGTGGCAATGTTCGTTGCATTAGACACGGCCGTAGCCAAGGCAAGTGCCACAGCTCTCTTTGCCTTTGGGCGCGCAACAGTGGCAGAGACCCAGGGCAAGATGAGTTGAAAAGCTGAAAATGAACCCATAGCTTGCAGAAACATGGCGAAATATCGAGGGCCAGTCTGATGCGTTGACATGGAGATGATTTGCCCAACGGCAGATATCACACACGCAGTGACGATGTGAAAGCAATGTTCGCCTGTGCGTCCTGAGTGCCATGAGTTGAGGATCGAAAAGAAGAAGGCCAAGAAATAAGGAGGCGCAGTGAGTAGCAAGGTTTGAACACGTGGGAATCCGAGCGTCTTGACAATGGATGGGAAGAAGTACGTGAAACTCATAGAAACGACGGCACAAGTTTGGATGAACACCAGTAATGGCTAGATATTAAAAGGAATTAGCCCCGTAAATTCGAAAACTTCAGAATCTTTTTGATACCAAGATTACTCACCACTTTCGGATCGGAAAAGGCCTGTTTCAGGCCAGTGAAAACGGACTCTTCGACCTCGTCTGCTACACCATCGTTCTCGCGTTCAAGACGCCATTGGGCCATAGCAGTCTCTTCAGCTGAAAAAAACGAGGTGTTCGAGGGATAGTTGGGTAAAAGCATATACCCACCAAACGCCATGATGATCGTAAGCGCACCTTCGATAATGAAGCTAAGAGTGGCCAAGTCAGAATTTACTCATTTGAATATCAGGCCAACACTCACATCCACCTCCAAGAAGGATAGCCACCCAGCCCCTCCATCCCATCAACGATGCCAGCCGCAATAAGACCACCAAAAGCGGATGACAGCGTGTACCCCGAGTAAAAGGTTGCAATGCGACTAGGCAACTCCTTCCGCGTGTACCAACAAGAGAGGAAGAAAATACAACCGGGGAAGTACGGTGCCTCTGTGACTCCAACTAGAAACCTCAGTGCCACCAATCCAGCATGATTTTGTACGAATCCGGTAGCGCCAGACACAATACCCCATACTATAACGACAGTGGGTAAGTAAAGTCGCGGTTTGAATATTGACAGAAGCATGTTTGACGGCACCATCATGGAAATATAACCAGCCCACAATACCATTACGGCCGTTTGGTATTGCACATCGTCGATGCCTAGCGACGCTTCCAAGCCCCCGAGACGAGCATTAGCGATGGCGTTTCGGTCGAGGACATTGAGCAAAAAGAGGACGATTAATATAGGAAGGGAGCGCAAATCAATCTTCCGGACGAGTTTCTTCTCCAACGATGCTAGTTGCTCGGGCGTGTAGTGGCGCAGGATGTCAGGAACTGGGCTGTGAGTATCATGTGTAGCTTCGACCTGCCCGAATTCTATCTCTTTCTTCTTGATTGAGCTTCTATCCGTATCCATGATAGGAAGATAGATGTACTTTGAATCCAAAAAAGCAAATGAGAATGCTGGTTCAAGTTGTAGAGGATTACGAAGCAACAAAAACAGTAGTGACGGGTTTACTATTTATAAAGCCGATTTCGAAGAATGATTGATTTCGGGCGTAGATAGTTCCCCGCAGGAATAACACCCCCGCATTATGCGGGTGATCATCTATGCCATATTGTGGATTGGTAGGATCGCTAACGCCTACTATGCGCGTGAGCTGTAAGCCAAGGCTGTGGATCACGGCGTTTTGGCCGAGGTGGACGGCGCGCTTAACTGTGCCATAGGCCCACTCTCTCCGATGATACTTGAGATGTACATCGCCAGAGCGTCGAGTCATATCAGTCTGAATCTTTCCTTGTTTTATACTTGGAAGACATCGTAAGAAGTAACAATAAAATATGGTGAGAGCTCAACAGGTTACGAAGGGAATTACAGTGAAGTAGTGGTCCTTTAGCTCGATCGTTTTGGAAATACGAGACGCAACAGCGGGTACCGTTGTCGGGTATAAATCTATGTTTCCTAAGCCTGAAGAATCGGACGGTGTACGACGTCTTTTCTTGATAATGACATTCCTAACCGTTCCTGTTATTTCTGGTACCACAGCGCTGAGCATTTATTCTTCGATATTTGAGGTGCAGGTGCGAGTTACATTAAGAAATAGTCTCGTCTAAGTAAACTTCATGTCAGCAAATGCCGTAAGAACGTTTTACAGTGTAATTGCAAGGATCTCAGTTTCGTGGTGAATTCCCCTGGTGAGCAGATTGCATCCTTATCGTAGATTCTGGAACTGTCCCGGTAAAGCGCACACCGCCAAAATATTATTATAGAGGCCCAAGCATTCATGAACACCCAAAGCGATGGTGGTGAGACTATTTTCCAGATCCACACTGTGTTTGGCGTTCCGACCCATCCGCAAGAACAATGGATAACTAACCATCTCAAATCGAATATCGACTATAAATACCAATATTCAGGACACAACATGCGCTCAGTTACTTGATGCATAATATACTGCTCAAAGTTTGGCGAGAATGCTACTACAGTACTACATGAAAGTCAGAAGATGCTCTATCGTGGCTGGGGCACGAGCCAATAGAATATCCGGATCTTCTCTCGGCCCGGCACTAGCGCGCAGGTACAATATGAGTTCCAGAAACTTCTTCCTCAATGCCCCCTCTACATAATTCCATTCTCCAACCCACCTTTTTAATTAAAACTGTTTATTTTCTCTTTCTCAATCTCTCCTGCTCTGCGATCAGCTTCCTGGGCCATAATTTGTAAGTAATGCATTGTACATTTCCCACATTTGAATGATGAGACACAAGCTGGCACCAGTCTGAGAAGACTTGTACTCTTTGCATGCGGATTAGCTGCATAGACTTTTTAGTCGCCCACTGACATCTCTTCGATACATACGTTCTTTTGATCAGTTTGGCAATGTTGAAGCTGACCAATTTGTAATAGAAGTTACTACCAATTACCCGACGCGTGTTCTCTCTTCGCTACCATGGTCCTCCACAACCCTAACAACTGGCATTGGGTCAACAAGGACGTCTCAGTGTGGACGCGCGAGTATCTTGACAAGGATCTTGCGCAAATATCTGCCGAGAAAAATGGTGTCACAGCAAAGATTGACAAGGTGGTGAGCATGGACGGAGACGTCGATGTGAGCCAACGCAAGGGCAAGGTGATCACCATCTTCGACGTGAAGCTGAAGTTGGAATACTCAGGTATGTCATTTTCCCGGTTGCACTCCTCTTGGGCGAGCTGACTCGGTCGGCAGGCAAGAACAAGGAGGGTGAGGAGACTAGCGGCACTATTACCATTCCAGAGGTCGCTCACGACACCGAGGAAGACGAGTATGTCGTATGTTCCCTGCGCTTATCCGCTTTCCCAATACTTCTATCATGCTATTGAATCATTACTGACGTTTTGGTGTAGTTTGAGGTAGATGTTTACTCTGAAGACAGCAGCAAACAGCCCGTAAAAGAGCTAGTACGCTCTGACATCCTGCCGCAATTGCGAAAATCCTTCGCAAAGCTCGCACCAGCGATCATGGCTGAGCATGCAAAGGATATCCAGCATGCGCCAGGCACCAACCCTAGCACCAACTTCACGGCTGCCAAGGTTTACTCGAGTTCGAGCGTGAACAAGTCGAGCAGCTCCAAGCCTGAAGCAACATCTTCCCAAAAGAGTAGCTCTGGTGCAGTTGTCAACGTGACGACAATTACAGACAGCGCAGAGTTCCGAACAGACGCAGCCAATCTGTACCAGACTTTCACAGACCCTCAGCGTCTGGCCGCATTCACACGCGCACCGCCCAAGAACTTCACAGGTGCCAAGCCTGGCGGCAAGTTTGAGCTATTTGGCGGTAACGTCAGTGGAGAGTTTACCGAGCTTGAGGAGCCGACGCATATTGTCCAGAAATGGCGACTTGCACAATGGCCCGAGGGACACTACTCGACGCTTTCGATATGGTTTGATCAGAACGACATTGATGCAGTGACTGTGATGAGAGTAGAATGGGCCGGCGTACCGGTTGGTCAGGAGGAGCCCACTAAGACCAACTGGGAGCAGTATTATGTGCGAAGTATCAAGACGACGTTTGGCTTTGGCACGGTATTGTAAGCGGCCAAGGCTCAGTTGCATTGTATTGCGGCACAGGAGTACAAGGCGTTGGAGGAGTTTACGAATGCATACGAAGTGACGGACCCGAAAGGGCATGAATGATAGGCATGATGGTAGGTGTACATGTAGAGACAATACAAGAGGCCTGATGACCAATGAAAGACGATGATTGTGCATGACAATCTTGAATGATGTGAAGTCTATGCAAATGATTTTGATTTTGATTTTTTCTGAGCATGTGTATTGGTAATCTCGCTGATTGCTGCGCTGTATTACTTTTTCACGTCCGTTCATAAACCTGGGGATCAAAAAAGGGGACAAAGGGGTATTCGAAAGCTGTATTCACCGATGTCAGTACCTATGATGGCATATGGCGGTAAGTTGAATAGACAGGGCAAATAGGCAGTGTTGATGAGATGTGGATAAGGTGATTGTTGGATGAATAAGCAGGGCACGTGTTCATGGTGAGTGGTCAACGTCATAGGGGTCTTGTTGGTGTAAATACTAGTACGGACAAAGATATTTACACATGTATGTGCATGGCACATGGCATATATGTACATAGATAAGTACGTATACATGCATATATGCGTACGTAACCAAGTATATGGAGTCAAGTATATACTAGGTACCACGACCACGACTACGGAGTAAGTACTTTTTGGTGCTGTGAGACAAGGCGGGCCCAGGCTATGGACAGCGACAAGAGGCGGACGCATGGAAACGCTACAGCGCCGAGCTTGTTGTGGTTGGAAGCCGTTGCAGGAGCGTTGCAAAAGTGGCCGTGGGGTCCGAGTGGTGCGGGCGCGTCCCCTGCTAGCGGGCGTCGCATGAAGGCTGGGAAACAGTTGGGCGTTGCAAGGCCGCATCAGCCGTCGCGCCATGTCTGTCCACATCAACCACTGTGCGGCTGCCATTGCCATTGCCATTGCTGCTGCTGCTACATATGCACATACCATTACTGCCATCGCTGCCATCTGAATTGCCTGACGCCTGCCTGGTTGTTGTTTTACGCCCCGCGACCAACTGACGCGACACCGTCAGCTTGGCTGCTATTAGCACTCCCGCTCTTAGTCGGACATAGCAGACCACCACCAACTTTTTCATTCACCCTCCCATAACCACTCGCCTGCACATGGCGTGCTCCCCTGCCCGGCCTCGCTGAGAGGCTCCCCGTCTCAGCCCACCTGTCCCTCTTCCCCTCCTGCATCCTTCCTCTCCACCCCTCTCCACACCTCCCCCCCCCCCCCCCTCGTTGCCGCGGAGTGGCTCCGCGACAAGCGGCCGTGCGGCGACACAAAACACAAGAGATATGGCGCCCTCTGGCACGAGCATGTTTTTCAAGTTCCGGCCTGGCCATGCGAAGCGCAATGCCTCATCCGTCGCCTCTCCAGAACAGGCTGCGTCAAGCCCCACCCCTTACCCACTTCCAGGCCCAGCGTCGCAATCCACCGAGTACTTGTCATCGCCGCGTTTCCACCAACATCAACAACATGCCAGCCTCCAGGCTGCCCCGTCCCCCGTATCGCCCTTTCCACCCAAGCTGCCACCCATTGCCCGCGTCGCCTCCAAGCTGGACAAGTCGCCCTCGCCAAGCAGTTCGCATTACACTCCCAGCCAGCATTCGGCCACCACGACCGACGGCAGCCCCAGCAACGTGATGGCCCACGATCCCACCATGCTGTCTCCTCCCCAACGGTCGCATGACTTTCCCTCCCCGGTCCACGACCAAAAGCCTCTCTCAGCCCGCTCCAATACGGCAACCTCGCCTCTCGTGTCCCTACACTCCCTGTCCGAGACTCCCTCGGCCATTTCCCCAAGCCACTACTCCATGTTCTCCAAGTCCCAGCCCTCACTACTGAGCGGCATCAGCGATAAGCTCACAGGCAGCTCCAAGGGGACATCGACACCTACCGTGGCACCACCACCACCACCCCAAAAGTCAAGATCCAGGCTCAATCTGCGGAAGCCAATGTCTCTCCTCATGCGACGAAAGTCGGCACAGACACTGGATCCTCTGGCCGACGAATCCCTCGTCACCCAGCGCTCGCCTTCCAACCTCCCGCCCATGCCCGATAACTACGACCCGAGTATTCGCGGAAAGATTGTACACGACTTCAATGCCCCCAGGCTCAACAGAAATTATTCCTACAACAACTCATCGGAAGCAGCCGAGCCACAACTCGAGGTCGCTCGCGCCAGTCCGCCGAAAATCGATAGGGAGCACACGCCGGTCTTTCGCGAGCATTTCGATGATGACACCAGCTATGAGCAGTCGCAGGCGGCGATAAGAGCAGAAAATCTGGCCAACAAGGACTTTTTAGCACGAAATTCTGTCCAATTTCCTCCACCCGAAAACTCACCACTTCCTCCTCCCATGCCACCCAAATCCTCACCGGTACCACCACAGCCTGCGCCACCACAGCTTGCGCCACCACAGCCTGCGCCATCAACTTCCCAACCACCGCCTCGGCCGTCGTTCCAAGGAATGGATGGTGTCAATTCGGTACTGTCGCCAGTGCAAGAGTCTGAAGACCCATCTGATGTTTCCGCAGACGTCACGCCACGGAAAAAGAAATCAACAAAAGCAAGCATGCCCCCAACACGCTCAAGGGCCACCTCCGTCACAGATCCCTCTTTCCAGCCAGATGGACTCCCTGCACATTTCAGTAGTAGAGCTTCAAGATTCAGCTTCCAGATCTCAGGCGGCACGGATTCTGCACAGGAAAAGCTGCTCGAGGAGCGGCACAAGGCAAAGGAGGCGGAAAAGAAGCAAGCACGAATTTCTACAAATTCTGTTGAGGATGAGTACGACGAATACGGCATGGATGACTACGATGACATGGACGGTGGGTTTGATGAGGAGATTCCCATGCTCGGTGACGAAGATGAGTTCACGGGCGGATTGGGCAACCAAACGCTCGACTCTGGCATCAATGGGTTTGACTTTTCATCTTTGTCGATACAACAAAACATGAACAACCCAATGAATTTTGCGCTTGGACAGATGCAAATACCCGTCGACATGAATGGTAATCCCATAGGGTTCGCCATGCCCGGTCCCATGTTTCAGCAAAATTACATGTCAGCGATGAATAACCTAGCTGGTGCGCCGAATGTGACAAACACTCAACTACATGGCCTAGGATTGAGTAATTCCCAAAGCGAGGGCGATAGCTCGTCGCCAGTTAAGCCGGCGGATGCGCCCACCCAAGCAGCACCCGCTAGCAGCAGCCAGCCAGCATCAAACAATCTCGATCTCGACGATGACATGTACTTTGACGATGGGCTGATTGGCGATCAGGATGTGGGTGCTACGGAATTCGACGAAAGCGTCTTCGACGATCCCGATGGGCCACTCTTTGACAGAAAGGTCAAGCTCCCTGCGGAGGGACAGTCATCCACTGCTCAGCCTCGCGCATACGATGTGCTGGACCCCGAGACCGGTTACGAGGCCGATGATGATATCGTTTCTCAAACACCCGACAAGTCAGCCCCTTCTCTTGCTCACAAGACTTCTATTGCACAGCAGATGGCAGTGCCCAGCTTCGAGAACCTCAGTGCTTACCATAGTGCACTTGCAGATGCGGCAGTCCGGGCCGAGGCTGCTGGCCGGTTTGATAGGAAGATGAGTGTGGATGCGGGTCAACCTAACTCTGAAGTCGAGGAACCCTCAGTCAGTCATTCAAGGCCCAGTTTGGTACCTGACGATGGCCGCTTTAGTGTGGACACAGCCAACTTTCCACTGGACGACGATGTTTACGGAATGAGCTCAGGGTTCGTCGACGATTATGACTACAGCGACTTTGACTCGGCTCTGGAAGACGATCCGATCATCGCTGCAGCAAACGCTGAAGCACTAGCATATGACGATGAAGGCTTCTACGGCCAGGAATTTGGCTTCTATGCATCCGCGGTTGGTGAGTCACCAAGTGCTTGGGGTGGCTTCTTTGGCCCATCCGGGGTCGGTCGCACTGTTAGTGGACGGAACGCTGTCAGGGAACCCAACCTGACGCCCATCACCGAACGAAGCGAATACAGCACACGCAACTCATTCATCAGTCTTAACCAATTCCGAGATGGACAACAGCCCATCACCAGTCCTGCACTAGCACAACTCGCCCGCATGAGTCCGTATGGCGGATTTTTCGGTCAAGAGGAAGAGGACATGAGTCTGGATAGTTTGATGAAGTTGAGAAAGGGAGCCTTTGGTGCTAGTGCTTCTAGTTTGCCAGGAAGCGTGTCTAACAGTCCACGTACTTCGTCGCCCATGGGCATGCAATTCGTTCCTCGGGCCACGACTCCTGCCGGAAATCGTATGATGGAGCACCCATCCAGTCCCGTGGAAAACCCATATTTTTCCAACAGTAATTTATCAGGACACCAACCCCATGACGATGGCGATTACGAGGAAGGTGACTCAAGTCTTATGGACGCTGTCAATGGCGCGTATGAGTCTGGTAGCTCCAGTGAAGACGAAACTGGTGGTAACGGACAAATGGAGAGCCCTACACTTACAAGCAGTGATTACAACAGTCTCTCGAGTCCAACCGGGCATATTACCGGAAACGAGGCGCCAGCCCTGCCTTCAATATCTGAGATATATGCTCAGCACAACTTGAGTCTGGTCATGTCTCCGATCAACATCCCTGTTACATCACCTTCACACATTTCGCTCCCTGCATCACCCTTTCCAATGGCACTGTCCTCGCCATTTCCACCTCAGCCTCATACTCGCCCACCTAACCCCCCTTCTATTGACACCTCTCTTTCTTCACCAACCGCTGGCACAACCTCGACGCCTGGTGCGCCGAGGCGACAAAGCGTAGTTCTCAGTCCCATTTCGACATCTTCTCCCATTACACCAAATGGTGGTAGCAGTGCCGGGGGCTGGAACCGCGGTCACAGCAGGAAGGGGAGCGCAGCGGATAGTGTAACCTATGTTCGTGAACACGACGAGGCGGGAGAAGGAAGATGGGTACTTGAACGAAGGCGCACTG